CGCCTGAAGATGCTTCAACGCGGCGGCCAAGGGACAAAGCACAGTCAACACCGGAGCACATCCCGCCAAGAAAGCTGCAACAGCGTGACCAGAGCCTCAGCAGTCAGAGCCGCAACCCATCAAAAAGGAAGTGCAGAGGGCTCCTCCAAAGGTCGATTCGATCTTGCTGGACACTCCCTTCGACCAAGACGAACCCTCCAACGGCGAGCAGGACCTCTTCCGACCAATTCCGAATGGGGACTTCGAGCTCGTCCCTCTCGGTGAAGACCCGAGCAGAGGGGTGAAGATTGGCACCATACTCCTCGACTTAGCGAGAAAGAAGATCAAGGCCTGCTTGAGGGAGAATGCATATCTATTCACGTGGAGTATTGCGGAAATGCCCGGTCTCGACCCTGAGGTCGCCTGTCATCAACTCGCCATTGATCCAGCCGCTATGGCAGCAGTACAACGTAGGCGTAGGCAGTCTCTCGAGAAAGCGGAGGCTGCTGAAAAAGTTGTAAAAGACCTCCTAGAGGCAAATTTTATTTCTGAAGCCCGGTATTCAACCTGGCTGTCAAATGTTGTACTTGTTGAAAAATAATAGAAAATGACGTATGTGTGTTGACTATATCGATCTTAACCGGGCATGCCTCAAAGATGCATTTCCTTTGCCTAATATTGACATGCTGGTTGACAACTCGGTCAACTATAAAATTTTATCTTTTATGGACGCCTATTCGGGCTACAACCAAATCCCAATGGCAATGAGCGACAAACACTGTATTGCTTTCATGACCAGCTCAGGCAACTATTACTACAACGTAATGCCCTTCGGTCTGAAAAATGCAGGAGCAACGTATCAGCAGATGATGAGCAAAGTCTTCCACAACCAGATCGGAGATATGCTCGAGGTATACATGGACGACATGATTGTCAAATTCTGAGTAGACACTAATCATGTCGCTCATCTCAGGGAAGTCTTTGCACAAGCAAGGCAATGTAGAATGAGATTTAACCCCGAGAAATGCACGTTCGGGGTTAAGGCGGGCAAGTTCCTCGGCTTTTACCTAACGGAACGAGGAATCGAAGCCAACCCTGATAAGTGTCGAGCTTTCTCTGACCTCCTTACACCCACTTCGAAAAAATCCATACAAGTACTGAATGGTATGCTCGCCTCACTCTCCTGTTTTGTCTCAAAATCTGCTTAACACGCCCTGCCTTTTTTCAAACTCTTGCGCAAAGAGACAGCTTTCGAGTGGACCGAGAAATGAGAACAGACCCTTCTCCATTTCAAACAGAGCCTCTTGCAGTCGCCCGTGCTATTACGACCAGACAACGGGGAGATATTATTTTTATATTTGGCTATCTCCGTCAAAGCCGTCAGTGCGGCCCTCATTCGCGAGACTCATGACGGCCAAAAACCCGTTTATTTCATGAGCAAAGCGCTTCAAGGGCCCGAGGTCAGATACCAACAGATCGAGAAGGTGGCTTTGGTCCTCGTCAACGCAGCGAGAAGGCTTAGACACTAAAATCTGAAATATTTTGTACATATGGTTTTGTATGTGCATATCTGAAACAAACTCTAAAATCTTGCATCCAACGTTTAAGTATTAAAACATGTCAAAAAAGAGTGTCTTTGAATATGCACATCTGAAACATATTGGATTATGCGTTTGGATGTACATATCTAAAGGGTATTTTTGGGTTTTCAGTGGTGAAAATCACCACTACTAAGTGTAAAGAGAAATTTTTCAAATCATATGCAGTGGATGGATTTAAAAAAGGAAGCATATCGTACAATTTTATTTGAACCTTGGATGTCCTTTACCACTAACATTTGTAGAATGGATAACACAGGCTAAAGATGTAATATCTAATTGAAAAAAATATTTTCGATAAAATGGATGGGTTTGACAAATTGAACGCTATTGAAAGAAAGTTATTAGAAAAAAGTCTAGTGCAAAAGCACCCATAAATTTAGATGTTATCATGGATTTTGATGTATTTTAGTTAGTATCATCAATAATATATATAAAATGACACACATTTGCAAGATTTACAGTTAAAATTTTTATTGATTGGTCAAAAAAGTGTGTAGTTTTTAAATACTGCATTAATATTTCCGCAGCTCATTGTTCTTCACAAGATATTACTCATTTCTTGAAATATCAATACTCTCTTTAGATCATGTAAAACTCTTAGATACTAATATATTAAATTAATTTAATTGTCTTACTGCTAAAGCAGCTAGTGAAAGAGACGGAATTTGAGAGAGATAGAGAGAAAAGTATGGTAATTGTGTATTGAATTAATAAATAGTAAATAAAGTAGGATATAATTTTATAAATAATTAACCATCTCATAATTGAGCAAGTAAATCAGTAATTACCTTCACAAAGTTAGTTAATGTTAACCAACTTTTAACTACTAACAACGAATTAATAACTTTAATACTAGCTATTCTAACTGTTTTGAATAGTTCTAGAATTTCAAATTCAAAACTGTTATTGTCGAAATTGAAATGTAATTGAGATATATTCTAATATAACTCTTCACTACAATTTCACTTTGCTTCAACAAATTGTTGAGTGTAATCCAAGTCATCATAATACTATGTTGTTACTAAGCAAAGTTTGTTAGTGTTGTTCGGTTTTGATTTGTTATGAGTAGTTACATGTTGCACAAATAACATGTGTTCTGTATATAAAAAATCACCAAATTTAATGCAATTCAATCTTTCTCTCTCATTTTCAATAGTATTTCTCTTCTCTTTTCTATTTTCTCCAACAAATTGGTATTTAGAATTAAGTTGATCTTTTGAATTGTGATTGTCGGAGTTATTAATCACGGTTGGTCAAGGAAACTTTGCATATCACCTACATGTTCTTGATGGCAAGAATTGGGATAGATAGGTGACTCAAATGAAATTGATCTTTGGTGCACAATATGTTAGCGACATGGTGGAAATAGGACTTGAAGTCCTTCCTGCTAAAACAACTACAACACAGAAGAAAACACATAAATAAGATAAGAAAAGAGATTGCATGCCTTATTTCTCATTCATCAAAGTGTTGATTTCAAGGTGTTTGAAAAAATTGTTGGTGAAACTAGTTCTAAAGCATCATGGGACAGCTTGAAAGGTATTTTGGTAGTGATGCTAAAGTCAAGAAAGTCAAACTACAAACAATGAGGAGGCAACTTGAACTAATGCAAATGAAAGATGATGAAAAAATAGGTGACTATATCTCAAGGTTGCTGACCTTGACAAATCAAATGAAGCAATGTAGTGAGTCTCTCAATGAGGTGAAAATCATTGAAAAAGTAGTGAGAACATTGCCTTATTTCTTTCTTTGATCACATAGTGATGACCATTGAAGAAACCAAATACCTGGATGGATAGCATGAAGATTGAAGAACTGTAGAGTACACTTGAAGTCCATGAGATGCAGGTAGTTGAAAGAGAAATTTGAAAACATGATAAACAAACACTTCTTGCAAGATTCAAGAAGTTAAAAGTTAGCAAAGACAAGTGGAAGAATAGAAGCAAGAAGTACAAAAGTGGTGAAGACAAGCATGAAACATCAAGCAAGAATGATGAAGGGTCTGTCAAACATCAGAACAAAAAGAAAATCTTTGATAAAAAGAAGGTTAAATATTACAATTGTGACAAGATGGGACACCATGCAAATAAATGTTGGTTTGACAAAGGAAATAAGCTCAAAGATGGTGGATAAATGTTGGTTTGGCAAAAGAAATAAGCTCAAAGATGGTGAAGAAGCCAAGATTGCTCAAGAAAACTCTAGCTCAGACTCAAATCCAATTGTGCTCATGGCTACAACTGATGTTGAGATGTCAAATTCTCGAACCGGATATCTTGACATAGGCTGCAACAACCATATGACTAGAAGAAGAGACTAACTGATTGATTTTGATGCTAGTAAGAGTACAAGCATCAAGATGGATGACAACAAGTCCATTGTAGCAGAAGGAATGAGACATGCTAGTGCCATATATGCAATGTAGTTTGCTTAGTGTAGGCCAGTTGCTGCATAAGGGCTTCTCAGTACTCATGGAGGCTGATTGTTTGAAGCTCACAAAAGGAGATTGGTCGTGAAATTTTGTTTTTTCAAGAAACAGAACCTTCAAGGTAATTTCATCTTTTTGGTTTTCCTAATATGGGTTTAAATTCATATCTAGTCTCAAGAGATAAGGTTAAAATCATTCAACCGTACACACCGGATTAATTTTTCATAATAACAACCGAAAGAAATAAACTAATCAATTCAGTGATGACTTCAAAGTAATTTTCATTTGGAGTTATCTAACAATGCTATACAGTTTTTCTCAAAAACTAAAGTTATACAATGTAGTTTATCTAGTTTCTTAGTTTCAAAATATATGCACAAACACTTCAAGCTAATAACCATTTAAAGTAAATATGGAGTACAAAAAGACAATCAAATAACAAGTTTTTCCAACCAAATCCAAATCCAATAATAATTAATTACTTATAGAAAATGGCTCAAGAATTTGTACTTCTACCAATTAAAGTTCACGTGAGGCATCCATTACGTGTCAAGTGACACTAAATATGAGGAATGATTGTATTTCAAAGACATTTTATCCCCCTCTCCCATAAGTTCTAAGTGAATTAACACATGTGAATTGGCAAAGTTGCTTAAAGAATTGATAAGAAAAATCTATTAGATATTGTTTGAGATTTGAGACTGATATAAATTGACTCAATTTCTTGATACAATGACAGATAAAAAAATGTCTTGTGTAACAGCAACAATATATGCCGCGAGTTATCGAAGTAAATTGTTTCCAACCAAGTATTCAGTTAAAAATTGGCATAATGGTATTATTATTAATTATCATCCAAGGTCTCCATGGGATGAAAATCTCCCAATAAGAAAAATAGCATGTGTTTTGGTTACAAAACCACATAGTTAGGGGCAATTATTTGGGAAAGAAGACATAACAGAATAACCTTATAAAACCAAAAAAATTCTCCCCTGTTATTTCAGTTGTGTGAATAGCTTTGGTGCAACCTGCATTGCAAGATCATAATTTATCAGGGAATACAAAAGAAAATCAAGTAGCTCAGTGGTTATTTAGAAACTAAACATTAATACTTACACATTTGTCAACACAATACCAATAATCAAAATATTGTCCAGTGCAGTGTTTCTGCCCAGAATCATCACCATCGATCCTTTTTATGCATGCCTGCAGCAATTTAGAGAATTAGTTTCCTTTGCAAGAACTTCTTTTCACAAACAAAAAATAAGGTGGAACAAAATTTTGCCAAAATATATTCTTAATTTTAAATCTGTCTTAGCAAAAAAATACAGAAAACTGCCATCCTTCACAAATTTGGGCATGGCGGATAGCCAAAAAAACGCCAGCAATATCCACCATGACCGATATTTGACAACATTGGTCATGATCCATCTACCTGCATTGTTATATTAGTTTCCTCACTTGGAGCATAGTCCTAAATTCCCCCACAACAGACTACAACAGAAGTGTTAAACATTGGGTAGAATGAGAGCAGCAAAATGCATCAGAATAAAGGAAAAGCTTTTAGAAGTTAGATTGCCGTGTTGTTGCTCGGAAAAATTATTTAGTTCCATCCCTTTCTAGCCAGTAGCCAGCCACTGATTCACTCTAAAAGAAACAGATAATAAGGTTGTATATCCTCTAAAACAAACATTTCCTTTGCAACATTGAATTTCTTTGTTATTTCCATTTCTCTATCTTACTAGTACTCCCTTCTTCTCTCCTTTCATAAATACACTTGTGACTATAAAATTCTCCAATCACATTTTTCAATAAACAATATAATAATAAAATGTAAAAATTGTGACAGAGATAATATAATTAATCAGTAAATGTAAAATACACTAATAATGCCTATGATAGCCTATCTTCTATCAATTCTTAAACCTGGAAAAATAATTGTATTGATCACTTAAATTGAGAACAAAGCTCGTCTTTAAATGATTTGGCTTAAAAAGTTATAATTCTACTATTCATTAAATGATTTGGCTTAAAAAGTTATAATTCTACTATTCAGATAATATTGCCACACACCTGATATTCAAGTAACGGTCTCACACATTTCGGTTTGCAAGACTCTTCAAGAAATCTCTTCTGATCAACAGGTTCCTCATCAGCCCTGAATTCACAATAAAACCCAAATATGACTCCAAATCAAAACACTTTTTCATAAGCATCAACCAAGAAGATGCAAATGCATGGGAAACGGATAGCAATCACATGGGGTCCGAGTTCAACAAAGTAGTAAAACCCAGCTGTCGGACATCAGTTTTACATCCCTATCATGGATCTAGATCGAACCGCTGAGAGGTGTAACTGTGTGGCACAGTTACAGCAGCGAATCCAATTCCGCTAGAAACATGAGTGTCAGACTGATTAAAGAAAAATTGTAATTATTTTGTATAAACTATTTCAGTATATTTCTAACAATAACAAAATGGACTATGATTAACTATGTAGCAATAACAAAATGGACTATGATTAACTATGTAGCAATGAATGGAATTAGTTATAAGCACAAATCTAACAATAACAATCACTTCTTTATATAATTTCTAGAATAAAATTAACTGAATCAATCTCATGAAAAATTACACCGAAAAGGCGAAACAAACATTACCGAATCACAATAGGAATCGGTTATTCGTAAATAAGAATCGTAGCAAGATTTGAAAACCCTAGATTTAAAATTCGAGAACCTAAGAGGCGTTTGCATTGGAATAAAGATATAAACGATAGACAAGAGAGAAGATTTGAGGAATACATGGCGGCGGCGCGCTGTGAGAGAATGCAGGTGGTAGGTGGTTGGTGGCGGTGTTGCTGTTTCGCTTTGGTATCAAAATTTCTGATCAACTCTTCTATACCGTATTATCTTCTATTCCATCGGGTTCGATCCGATCCGATATGTCTAATTGGGTCAAATCATCCTAAACTATTGCATATAAAATATTCAATTGGCAAAAAAAACAAGTCTAGTTATGTGTGAATTTTTCAGCAATAATCATGTTGGAAAATTAAAATGCATCAATAATCATATTTTAAAAAAATATATACAAAATTATCAGATTTTAGAAATGGTTTAAATGGACACGTCATTTCATATAGATCATGCACATAAAAATGTACTTAGACATCATATGAGATGACACATGCATTGTCTGTAAGTTAAATGAGATGGCGCATGCATTGTCCTCACTGTGAGGAGGTGTCATCTCATATGGTGTCTAGGTGTAAGTGCGTTTTTTATAAATAACACATCATTTCTTCACTATTCTTCACACGTTCTCACTTTATTTTTTCATTTTCTCTCTAATTTTTCATCATGACATCTGACATGATTTTCACAAGAGATGGGTATGTTTTTTTCTCAGCTACCAAATCCTCGATTAAAATAAAATTTTGGCACATCCATTCAATGGAGCGTCTTAAGAGAGAGTTGATCCGATAGTTAGATGATGACATCCAAGATGGTGAATCTATTAAAATAATTCAAAGACAAAGAACGGTCACCTCACTTGCGATCGGAAAATCTCAATGTTGGTGGGAGGATGTCAAAATTGACAGGACGTAATGGTGATGATGCATGGATCAGATGAAATTGTTTTATTTCCTTTTTACCCTCTTATTCAAACGACTGGTGCTACCGATCACCCATCCAACCTAATCCCCTACCAACACGACAAAACTTTGATAACATGGGTAACCGACTTTTTGACAGCGGATCTTCAGAATTTAGTGACATGACGGATTTCATAGACCATGATCCATTGACCTCTCATAACCTTCGACCCAACCACTACATGAACTTCGTAGAGGACGAACTATGAGAGGACGAGGCAATTAGATTGTATGGAACTTTTATTCCAATAATGTAATCGTTTTTTAATTTTTTTAGTTTTATTTATAAATAGTTTATTATTATTTAAATAAAATAAATTTTAAAAAAATGCACATAAGCGTCATATGAGATGGCTTGCTAGATTTCACATGAATCTAGGTGTCATATGAGATGGCTTGCCAGATTTCACATGAACCTAGGCGTCATCCCATATGGCGCATCCATTCAAATTTTACATGCATGCGCCATCTCATCTGGCACATCCACTAAAATCATTTCCCAAACTTGATTATTTGTGTAAATTTTTTAAAAACATGGTTATTGATATATTTTAATTGTTATAGTTGTTAGAAAGTAGTTATGAGTTTAGTTACAACGAATGTTAATTTATAGTTGATAGTGTATACACTAGCTTGTTGAATAAGTATCTCATGTATTCTTCATTCCAAATCAATGAAGTTTCTTGCTCTTTCATCCAAATTTTCTCTTTCATAATAGGTATCAGTTTGAAAATTCGAACTTCATTCACTTATTTTTGTTGAGTTTCATTCATCAAAAGCAATTTGTTCTTCATTTGTTCTTCATTTGTTTTCTCTTTGATTTGTTCATCGGTCCTTATTTTCCGCAATGCCTTCCTCGTCGCTCTTATTGGTCAACAAGCTGACACAAATTTAATCTACTACGTCCATCCAATTGAAGGTTAAATTTCGGTTTCAAACATCCGAAGTTGAATGGCTCCAATTATCTAGCATGGAGTAAATCTATGCAAAGAGCCTGGTGCAAAGAAGAAGCTTGGATTCATTGATGGCTCAGTTGAAATTTCACCTCATCATGATCTTAATCATTTTCAATGGGAAAGATGTAACCATTTGATTCATTCTTGGTTATTGAATTTTGTTTCAGAATAAATTGTGCCCACTATTATATTTCATGTTAATACCATAGATGTATGGACTGATTTGAAGGAAATATTTTCTAAAGTTGATCAAATCTGCATTGTTCACTTTGTTTTTCAATCAAAAATTTGAAACAAAATTCAAAATATATTATGGATTATTTCATTGAGTTGAAAGGTCTATAGGAGAAACTCAATGAACATTGTCCTCTTCCTACTTGTACGTGTGTCACCAGTGTAGGTGTATGGCTATGCAAAGTGTTTATGATTTTAGGCATGAAGATCAAGTTATGCAGTTCTTGACAGATCTCAGTGACCTGTTCTCAGTGGTGAAAATCAAGTATTATTGATGGATCTTTTGCCACCAATCAATGAGGTTTACTCTTTGGATGTGCAAGAGGAAAGCAATCATCGATTTGTCAGCATACAAGAAGAAAATGGTTCTTTATTGGTTAATGTAACTCAAAGACTTAACTTCAAAGGTATACCATACCATTTCAAGAATTCCACTAGACAATTCAGTTTTTGTATTAGGAGAGGTCACACTATTGATCTTTGCTATTAGAATCATGATCACCCTAATTTCAACAAAAATAAGCCACTTGTCAATGCATGTCATAGTCAGAATTGTGACAAAATGCATCGTGTTTGTAAAATTGAGGAGACTTCATTTGCAAGCAACAGTTCCAAAATTTTCTTAAAAGAAGTATGGCCAACTTGTTACCTTGATTCAACAAGTAAATTTACTTCCCTCATAAAAACCTTTTAACACAAACAAAATTTATGTTTCTCCTATGATTCATGATCATTCATCTTTTGAGTTTTCTCTGGGTATATTTGCAGTACCTTTAATTGCATGCTTAGTAGCCATCAATCTTGAATTTTTTATTTTAGTGCTAATGATCATGTGTGCTCATCATTAAAAAAATTATTCCATTCATAGCATAAAACATGTTAGCATCACCTTACAAAATGGTAATTCCATTTGTGTCAAACAAGTTGGCCATGTGTATTTTTCAATAAATCTCCATTTGCATAATGTCTTATACTCTAATGAATTTCATCTCAACCTAATTTGTGTATCCAAATTATGCTAATCCTTGAACGATTTCATTACATTCTCTGCACACAATTGTGTTTTACAGGACTTGAGCATCAAGAGTATGATTGGTTTGGATAAACAAGTTAAAGGTCTATATAAAATGCAAATTGATGAATGTACACTTGTTGTTGGCACAAACTTCCCTTGTTATCAAATGTGAGTTCATCCTACCACTAGTATCAATATTATTTTATCTAATAATGCATTGTGGCATTTTAGACTATGTCATACAAAACCTATTCTTGTTTTAATTAAGTTGATATTTATTTATTTCTTGATTTAATAGCTAAAAATAGTCAAAATGTTCAAAATATATGCACAAACACTTCAAGTTAAGAACCATTTAAAGCATATATTAGTACAATTGTTGTTGTTTCACTTTGATATCAAAATTTCAGATCAACTCTTCTATACTCTCTTCTAAGTTATTATGATTATTACTTGTGTCCCAAGTTCAAAAATTACTTGTACTTCAAGTTCAATCGTTAACATTCTATTTTGTTTTGAAAAAGTAAATAAAGAAATTAAGGTAAATTTAAGTTGGTATTAGTACAACTTATTTTAAAATTTTAATTTATTTTAAAATAAAATAAAATAGAAAGGGAATGTGGTATTATATTATACTCTTATTTATTTTCTCATAAAACTCTTCAACCAATATAGTGAATTATTAGAGTTATTTTTTCTTATTATACTCTTATTTATTTTCTTTTTTCAAATAAATTTAATTATACACTCTCTCATTTTCCAATAACTAATTGATAAAATAATTAATTTTATGGAAAATATGAAGTGGAGTTATTGAAAAAGCAAGGGTATAATTGATAAATTACATATTAAACTATAAAAACGACGCTTAAATAAAAATAAAAATAAAAATTTTAAAACGACACTTAAAAAAAACAGATAAAATATTATTTAATTGATTGAAGGTATCAATACTCAATTAAATTTAAGAATACTTAAGTATTTATCACAAATTAATTATAAATATTTAACTAAAATAATACAAAATTTTCAAACAAATTAATTATAAATATGTTACTTATAACTTTTTTTAACATGTGTCTTAAGACACAAGTTAGCATTACCTTTAATTTATTTTTTTAATATCAAAAATAATTTTTAGTAAATTTTTGACAATAAATTAAAGGTCCATTAGACATAAATATGAAAATATGGGTTATTGTTAACTCACATTTTGTGAGTTACTCCCTCCGTTTCTTTTTAAGTGTCGTTTTAGCATAAAGCTCTTCAACCAAGATAGTGGATTATTAGAGTTATTTTTCCTATTATACCCTCATTTATTTTCTTTTTCTAAATAAATTCAATCATACACCATCTCTCTTTTTCCAATAACTAATTGAGAAAATAATTAATTTTATGAAAAATGTGAAGTGGAGTTATTGAGAAAGTAAGAATATAATTGACAAATGATAACATTAAACTATAAAAACGACACTTAAATAGAAACACAAAAATTCTTCTAAACGACACTTAAAAAGGAACGGAGGGAGTAATACATATTTTTATCTTTTTTTAATTAGTAATTTAATTTTTTTTAGTCATTAATTTGTTGCATTCTAGTATTTTATAAGTTTAATTTGGAGCATAATAGATTGTGTAAATAAAGGTTAGCATTGTTGAGTTGAGGCAAGACTGCAGTGACTGCTACAAAGAACACAAGCTGAGAAAAAATGATGGACTTAAAAAAAAGGAAAATCAATAATGCAATCAGCTGACTTCAAGGAATAGCGTAACAAGAAGAAGGAATCCGAGAGAAACTTTACTAAGCTGAAAAATAAAGAAAATCATTCAAATTCAAAGGATGAGGTTGAAGACGCTAGAGGACAAAATAATAGTACAAAGATACACTGTGCAGCGCCGCATGCACCTGTTGTGGCAGTCTGCCACATTACACCTTGTCCCCCATCAATGTTTTCTTGTATCCAATTTCTTGTCAGCTAAGCAGAAGGAGTGGAATGATGGTGTTAATTTCTACATGGGCTTGATGTAATTTCCTTGTATTAGGACCATGGTCCATTGCATCGCTAAACCCTAGCTCAAGTCTATAAATAGGACCTTGATGAGATCGAGAAGGAGTTCAATATTTCTAAGAGAAAATACAGAAGATACTAAGTGTGAGAAAAGTGGAAAGTAGAAATAGTTTTCTTCTTTTCACCCAGTCTTGTACTAGTTGCTGAGTCTTTGTGCGACTGGAGTCATCTCTTAAAGATTATCCATCTCAAGAAGTCTCCAAGTTACTTTTATGTTTATATCTCATTTTCATTATTTTTTTAGAGATGTTCCTTCTGAGAACCATGCTTGTAGTTAGTACTCAGTTCATCATGAGTTAAGCCTTTTGTAGTTAAGCAATATGAGGTTAATATTAAGTTGTTTTTATGTTATAAGATGTGTGGTTAAGTGACTTGTTTTATTATATGTTAACTAGTTATAAGTTTATTTCTTTGAATGATTAACTTAGGAGTAGATAACATCTTGTTGTTATGAGAGATCCAACAACAAGTGATTTTCTTAATAAAAATAGTTGAACGAGTAGGATAAAGATATTCACTCACCTAGCTTACTTAGAGATAAGGATATGCAACTATTGAGGATTTCATAATACAAATAGACGTATGTTAGGTTTATAAGTGAGACTTAGAGATTTGTTCCCTTGCCCTTTATATACATGCTTTGATATTGTAGAAATACACCACAAGATCACTCTGACTTCACTTGTTACGACACTGCACATCATCACACATATTTACTTCTATAATATTAATAGATCATGGATCAACTTATTTAGTCTTGATATATTTCTACTCTTTCTCTCACACCGTTTTAGATTAGTTTTAAGTGAAACACTGAACATAACACACCACAAATTATTTTTCTATCTACTAATGCTTAAAACTCAAATATAGTCAATTGCAAAATCAACCTAAGTAACTAAATCACTCCCTGTAGATTTGACACTTTTATCTTTATCACTTGTTGTAATCAAACATACAAGTTACTTGCATGTGACACTCATTTTTACAACCAACAATCATATAATGTGTTATTAGTATTTTATTAGAGGATTTCTTATTACTTCTTGTGGATTTTCGACACTCTTATCTTTATCACTTGCTGTAATGAAACATACATGTATACTTGCATGTGACACCCCATTTTTACAATCAACAGTTATATAATGTGTTGTTAGTATTTTATTAGAGGATTTCTTATTACATCCTATATAGGTGAAAAGAACCCTATAAAAATCCAAAATTATCCAACAATTATTGGAAGTCTATTTCTGGACACATCCTTCACACCAAACAAACGCGACCAAATATGGTGTCACCCCGTTGTAAAATTAAAAACATTTCTGGAGATATACCTCTGGAAATATAATAGAAGCAACCATGATAAGGAAAAAAATATGTGTGTTTCATGAGTTATATTTCTAGAACTTTCTCTATCACAAGATAGGATTTGTGAGGTCCATATTGGCCTTTCACTACAATAAAATAAGCTCACTTATCATATTGTTTCACATCTAAACACACAAAAAAAAATGAGTATCATTTGGCATGTTGATAATGTTCACTTTACCAATACACCATCACGGGAATTTAAGATCACCGAGTACACCCCTCTTAAAGATCTGTAATACACATTGCATGATCTTCTCCCATATGGCGATAATCAAAAAATTGTGAAGATCGAGTACCGCTCGTCATCCATTGACAAAGAAGGAAAGCTTGAGTTCATCAACCATGAGTTGAAGACGGACGTTGATTTAAAAGCTATGTGAAATACTTTTTCCTGTTTAGAATCAAAAGTTCTAATTAAGCTGAATGCGATTATTTCGAGACCGGTCGATGATATTATGAAGATATGGAACACCCACCTGAATATTGAAGTGTAATGCTTGATGTATGTAAAAATCTCTTATGTATTGTTTATTTTATCATATAAATAGTATTGTGATTTTGAAGTTTGTTTTTCCATTTTATTTTTCCTGCTTTCTACTATGCAAAATTTCAAAATTACACATGTGATTTTATTTCAGAAATACATCTCTGAAATAATTGTTGATTCAGTAAAGGATTGGTGCGTCTGAGGATACATTTTCAAAATCTAGGGGTATTTACGTATCATTTCACGATGCGCTAGAAAGTCATATGATGTGTTAAGAAATTCTCTTTTATTATGTGTTAAGGTCTATTTAGATTGATATAAGGGGAAGGAATAAGGTGAAATGATATCATATTTCATTTTTTTTTTAATTAATAAAATAGAGTGTAATATGATGAACTCATTTCATCCGGTATTAGAATAGAATATTAGTCTATTTTTTATTCCATCCAAATTGAGATCCATCTAATAGGATGGAATAGATCACGACTTTCTCCTCCAAATTTTCACTTTTATTAATTATATAAATGTTTTTGAAAAAAAAAGAATAAAAATGAAATAAAAAATTATAATATTTTATGCTCCGTCCAATTTTTAAATAGTAAAATGAAATATTAATTCTCCCGTCGTAAAATATTCAAACAATAAAATTAAATTTATATTCTATTATGTTTCATTCCAGTCCATTAATTTAATTTGTTCCGCTTTGCTGATTTTAAATTATCCAAACATATTTTAAGAGTGTGTTTGGTTTGGGAAAAATATTGTAAATAGAGAAATAAGTAAGAGAAAAAAATAAAATAAATTTAAAATATTGATTAATTAAGCGAAATAATAAAGGAATAAAGAAGAGAAGTATTGTTTGTTCTTAAAAATACTATAATATTCTTATATCAAATAATATTTCCATTTAAATTAATTTAATTTTTTAATTTAAATTGAATTAATAATTAATTATTTTCAACTGCTTATTTTTAAAAAAATATAAATATATAATTTTTAAATATGAAATAACAAAAGGTACTTTTTAAAAACAATGAATAACATTAAAAAAAATGCTGCGAATATAATGACATTATTTTCACAATATAAAACACTTTTCAAAAGTTCACATCAAATAAAATTATATTATTATTAAACTTTTTTAAAAATAATATGAAAAATCATTGAGGTAAAATATGGGAAAATAATAAAAACACAAAAAGGAATCTCCTTTCTTCTTCTCTTTCTTCTTAATTTTGAGGAAAATAATTTTGTGTGAGCCTTAAATTTTTTAAGTGTTTCTCTCTTATTTCTCTTTACTACCAATTAAGGGAAGTTATATTATCTCTCTTCAACTTCTCTCTTTCTTTACCCTCTCTTGCCCATTTCTCCTCTACCAAATAGAGGTTAAATCTTTATTCTAAATTAGTTCAAACTCAATTTATCATCCAAACATGTCCACATACCACTCTTGGACGGTTAGTTTGAGGTAAGGGTGGAATCAAAGAGATATTCACAACATAGTGTCATATTTTTTTAAGAATGGAGATGAATAGTAATTTATGTATAACATATATTTCTAGATCCAACGAGACCGAATTCTTGAGAGCCTACACAAAGGCTTAAATCGAACTTCTAAAAATAAAAATTGTAATTTGAATATCTAAACTCTTCTAAAATCAATTGCATTAAATTAGATTTGAATAGGGTTGAATTTTTTAGTTATCTAAACTCGCACTTAATTGTGATATATGCATATGCTGAAGAAATGCCAAATGTAATATCATAGCTTGTTAAATTAAATTCTATTGCATTTTTGGAAGAACCATCAATTAAAGAGGCCTATTTGTTATGTAAAGTTGTTTCTTTCCGTCGCTCAAGGTTCAATGGTGGATATCAATTCTGCAGGGAAGCCTAGCATGCATTATTAAAAATTGAATCGACCCTAGCAGGAACCCTCAAGAGAAAATTATTACGCAAACCTCTAATACTCAATTCAGAGATTCAAATAACAAGCATAATTCAACTAACTGCAGTTAAAGGAAAGCTGCAACACAAATAGGAAATTAAAAAAACCACACTTCCACTATATTTTAAACATGACAAAAATGTCCAGTCTATACCAGCATATACTTCCTACTAAGTCTCAAAGTTACATATTCTTATTAATTATCATCCAAGGTCTCCATGGGATCAGAATTTCCCGACAAACAAAACAATAACAACACAGATACAGGGCATGAGATTTGGATACAAAATCACAAGTTTAGGAGCAGTTATTTGGAAATGAAGATAAAACAGAAAAATATCATAATACCAAAATATTATCCCTCATTACTTCAATTTGGGGAATAGCTTTGGTGCAACCTGCATTGCAAGATTATAATGTATCAGAGAATACAAAAGTAAATCAAGTGGCTCAATGATTATTTAAAAACTAAATATTAATTAATACGTACACATTTGTCAACACAATACCAATAATCAAAGTATTGTCCAGTGCAGTGTTTCTGCCCGGAATCATCCCCTTGTATCCTTTTAATGCATGCCTGTAGCAATTTAGCAAATCAGTTTTCTTTGCAACAACTTCTTTCATAAACAAAAACAACTTGGAAGAAAATTTTCGACATTTATATTTATTCTAAATTAGTCTTGGCACATAAATTGTAGTTGCTATCATGTGAGTTGGAGTGGAATCAGCAGCACTATAAGACAACCTACGATAGACCCACAATGGGGCTACCCTTCCTTGGACCCAAAATGGAATTGCTCTTTATTGTCCAAGGCATGCATCTACTATTCAACAAAACAAATCAGAACCTGAGGTTTTCCCGTTGGTTCTCTCAACTCAAACGGAGGAAGTTGATATAAGACGCAGCCCACCCAAAATTAAACTCTTAATCAATGCAAAACAAGAACCATAAATCTCTCTAACCTATTCCTGCATACGGTATTGGTTTACATCAAGCTCCATTGTGTAGAATCTTCAAAAGAATTCACCAATAGGTATGTCTATCTACTATTAATTCTTAATCGCCTAAATTAAGAACAAAGCTCAAGCTCATCTTTAACTGATTCAACTTCATTATTTAGTTCCATCCCTTTCTAGCCAGTAGCCAGCCAATGATTCACTCTAAAAGAAACAGATAATAAGGTTGTATATCCTCTAAAACAAACATTTCCTTTGCAACATTGAATTTCTTTGTTATTTCCATTTCTCTATCTTACTAGTACTCCCTTCTTCTCTCCTTTCATAAATACACTCGTGACTATAAAATTCTCCAATCACATTTTTCAATAAACAATATAATAATAAAATGTAAAAATTGTGAGAGAGATAATATAATTAATCAGTAAATGTAAAATACACTAATAATGCCTATGATAGCCTATCTTCTATCAATTCTTAAACCTGGAAAAATAATTGTATTGATCACTTAAATTGAGAACAAAGCTCGTCTTTAAATGATTTGGCTTAAAAAGTTATAATTCTACTATTCATTAAATGATTTGGCTTAAAAAGTTATAATTCTACTATTCAGATAATATTGCCACACACCTGATATTCAAGTAACGGTCTCACACATTTCGGTTTGCAAGACTCTTCAAGAAATCTCTTCTGATCAACAGGTTCCTCATCAGCCCTGAATTCACAATAAAACCCAAATATGACTCCAAATCAAAACACTTTTTCATAAGCATCAACAAAGAAGATGCAAATGCATGGGAAACGGATAGCAATCACATGGTGTCCGAGTTCAACAAAGTAGTAAAACCCAGCTGTCGGACATCAGTTTTACATCCCTATCATGGATCTAGATCGAACCGCTGAGAGGTGTAACTGTGTGGCACAGTTACAGCAGCGAATCCAATTCCGCTAGAAACATGAGTGTCAGACTGATTAAAGAAAAATTGTAATTATTTTGTATAAACTATTTCAGTATATTTCTAACAATAACAAAATGGACTATGATTAACTATGTAGCAATAACAAAATGGACTATGATTAACTATGTAGCAATGAATGGAATTAGTTATAAGCACAAATCTAACAATAACAATCACTTCTTTATATAATTTCTAGAATAAAATTAACTGAATCAATCTCATGAAAAATTACACCGAAAAGGCGAAACAAACATTACCGAATCACAATAGGAATCGGTTATTCGTAAATAAGAATCGTAGCAAGATTTGAAAACCCTAGATTTAAAATTCGAGAACCTAAGAGGCGTTTGCATTGGAATAAAGATATAAACGATAGACAAGAGAGAAGATTTGAGGAATACATGGCGGCGGTGCGCTATGAGAGAATGCAGGTGGTAGGTGGTTGGTGGTTGGTGGCGGTGTTGCTGTTTCGCTTTGGTATCAAAATTTCTGATCAACTCTTCTATACCGTATTATCTTCTATTCCATCGGGTTCGATCCGACCCGATATGTCTAATTGGGTCAAATCATCCTAAACTATTGCATATAAAATATTCAATTGGCAAAAAAACAAGTTTGGTTATGTGTGAATTTTTCAGCAATAATTATGTTTGAAAATTAAAATGCATCAATAATCATATTTTTTAAAAATATATATAAAATTATCAGATTTTAGAAATGGTATAAATGGACACGTCATTTCATAGATCATGAACATAAAAATGTACTTAGACGTCATATAAGATGACACATGCATTGTCTGTAAGTTAAATGAGATGACGCATACGAGAAGGTGTTATCTCATATGGTGTCTAGGTGTAAGTGCGGTTTTTATAAATAACACATCATTTCTTCACTATTCTTCATAATTTCTCACTTTATCTTCTCATTTTCTCTCTAATTTTTCATCATGACATCTGACATGATTTTCACAAGAGATATGTATGTTTTTTTCTCGGCTACCAAATCCTCGATTAAAATAAAATTTTGGCACCTCCATTCAATAAAGTGTCTTAAGAGAGAGTTGATCTGATAGTTAGACGAGGACATCCAAGATGGTGAATCTATTAAAATAATTCAAAGACAAAGAACGGTCACCTCACTTGCGATCGGAAAATCTCAATGTTGGTGGGAGGATGTCAAAATTGACAGGACGTAATGGTGATGATGCATGGATCTTTTATTTCCTTTATACCCTCTTATTCAAACGACTCGTGATATCGATCATCCATCCAACCTAATCCCCTACCAACATGACAAAACTTTGATAACATGGGTAACCGACTTTTTGACAGCGGATCTTCAGAATTTAGTGACATGACGGATTTCATAGACCATGATCCATTGACCTCTCATAACCTTCGACCCAACCACTACAGGAACTTCGTAGAGGACGAACTATGAGAGGACGAGGCAATTAGATTGTATGGAACTTTTATTCCAACAATGTAATCGTTTTATTAAAATAATTTTTTTAATTTTTTTAGTTTTATTTATAAATAGTTTATTATTATTTAAATAAAATAAATTTTTAAAAAATACACTTAAGCGTCATATGAGATGGCTTGCTAGATTTCACATGACTCTAGGTGTCATATGAGATGGTTTGATAGATTTCACATGAACCTAGGCGTCATCCCATATGGCGCATCCATTCAAATTTTACATGCATGCGCCATCTTATCTGGTACATCCACTAAAATCATTTCCGAAACCTGATTATTTGCGTAAATTTTTTAAAAACATGGTTATTGATATACTTTAATTGTTATAGTTGTTAGAATGTAGTTATGAGTTTAGTTACAATGAGTGTTAATTTATAGTTGATAGTGTGTACACTAGCTTGTTGAATAAGTATCTCATGTGTGATACGGTGGGAGAACTGACTTGAAGGTTTTGCATTTTATCGCAAATGTTGCGGTTAGCAAGAGTCACCACTGACTTTTCTTTTATCCAAAAGAAAAGGTGAAAAGGCACAGGAAAGACCTTTGAGATTATTTCTTGAGTTCGGGGGGTAGATTATGAAAAGGGAAGGTATTAGCACCCTTTTCATCCATGGTTTTCCATGGGCTCTTAGTTACTTGCTAGATCACTTGCTTTTGTTTGAATTTGTGCTTTGTATGGTTTTTGAAAGTATATTGTAAAGAGGTCATTGCTTAGGCAATCTTTGTAATGATTCTCGTTCGTAAGAATGTTACAAAGATGTTTGATCTTTTGAAAATGTTTTCAAGTTTGTAAGATGTTTGAAAGTGTAGGTGTTTGTTTTGAAAATAGCAAGGATGTTTGTTTGAAATTGAGCAAGCAATTAGGAGCAATTTACCTACTCAAATGTCTTTCTTGTTCATTTTCTTTTTATTTGACATTGTTGTCTTACCATTGACTTGGTAAGAAATCTTATCTTTGGATGTAAATGGGACGGGCGTGGGTCATCGTATAACTATGATTACCAATGTTGCAAGGTATCTTAGCATTCTTTTTGAGGGACTAAGATCATTTGAAAGGCAACTTAGATAGCGTCATTGAGGGACTATGATCTTGTATTTGCTTTGTTTTATCTAAGATACCTTCATGCGTAATATGGCCATTTTGTATAAGGCAACCAAGTGGAATAACCCTGGGGGTGCTTGTGTGCAAGTGTGTTATTTTCATGCTTGTTTTTTTCTTGAATTAGGGTTTTCTAAGTGTTGATTTTAGTCTTTCCATACAAACCCTAATTATTAGCATGTTATATGAAAGCGATAAATTGCGAAATTTAAAGTTACTACGCTATTACAACATTCGTGGGGAGGGGTGTACAATTTGTAAATGGGGATTGCAAGAAATTAAAACCCTAATTAGTCTATTACAACCAAATTGAATTTATACAATATGATCGGTGGATCTGGAACTGACTGTTTAACGCTGGATCGCGTATGTCGCGGTAAGCAAGAGTCGCCACCGTCTTTTATTTTCTCCAACATGGACAGGACAAAAGCACAGCAAAATTCCTTATGAGATAGTTTCTCGGTTCGGGAGGTAGATTTATAGAAAGGGAAGGTGTTAGCACCCTTTCTATCCATGGTTATCCATGGGCTCTTAGGTACTTGCTCTTATGTTTTCAAAAATGTTTGTTTGCTTTTCAAGTGTGAGTGGGTTTGAAAAAGTTTCGTTTAAAGATTTCAGATCGACTCTTGTATCAGTCCTCAAGAGTGTTTGAAAAATTATTTTGAAAGCTTTTTGAAAGTGTCGGTGTGAAAAGAGTTTTGATTTGTTTTTTTAGAGCAAGTATCTATGAGTCATCTACCTACCCTAAGGAATTAGGCTGTGTAAATGTCCTTAAGGTAGTGCCATCCCACCATTGAGAGGTAGGTAGCACCACCGTTGGAGATGTTCGGGTCAATTCGTTTGTAGGGACAGTGTGGTCACCAGAGCAACAGTATGACACCTTAGACGCTACCCTTATGCCATTGATCCTTTTTAATTCTGAGGCAACCGTTTCGAGGCAACTGGATCATGTCATGGACATAAGGACTTACTAAAACGTCCTATACTCGACGACCATGTTTTGAGGACAAGGCAACAGTGAGGCGTAACCCTAGAAGTGGTGTGTGAATTTGTGTGTTATTTTCATGTTATGTTTTATCTTGTACAGGTATCATGGTGATCTACGCTTGTTTTTAATTTAGGCCATACATTCTTTCATGCAAAGTTTAGAATTTAAAAGTGCGGAAATTTAAATGACGGAAAGGTAAATCCTACGCTATTACAAGGCGCGGGTCTATACATCGCCAAATTAACAAAGACCCGTTTTAATAAAAATGCGGAAAGTAAATAAATTCCTAATTACTATTACATGGCTTGAACAATTACATAATATTCACAATAAAATAACGTGCGAAAAGAATAGAAATAGAACGTTCGAGGGCGTTGGACCCTTTTGAAATTAAATTAAATTAAAAAGCTAATTAATTATTTAATAAAAGAAAATAAATGTTTTTTAGGTTTTTGGTATTTAATGAAATAAGAAAAGAATTTAAAATTAGAAGGAAACCCTAGTTCTAAATATTTGTAATTATTAAAGAAAAAGTTAAAGTTTAAAACCTAATTTACACTAATTAATTATTTTACAAATTTATTTACAAAAGTAGTAATTAATAATAATAATAATAATAATAATAATAATGAGAAAATTATTTATAAAAAAAAGGATGAGAATGTTAAAAAACCCTAATTTCTACATATGTTAATTTATTAAGAAAAATGTTAAAATTAAAACCTAAATTAACTAAGTTAATTATTAAAGTTTATTTACAAAAAAATAATGGTGAAATTAATATTAATAACAATAAACATTTTTTTGATTTTTCTGTATTTTATTTTTATTATGAAAATTATTTTAGGGAATTAAAGAAAACAATTAAAATAATTAATAGAATTAAGAAAGAAAAACAAATAAGAATTAAAAATTGATGCAAACCATGGGAGGTATCAGGCCCATTTAGGAGGTTTTTTGAAGCATTTTTGGCCCACTGAACACAAGGCCTTCGTTGACTTTCCAGCTTGAGTGCATGTCCATTGATTGAGGCATATGGTAAGACTCATTTGGTAGCCTTCAGATTGAAGCTCATGGGCGCGTGGCAGGCTTGGATGTGAGGTTTTATGATGAGCCCTTTGATGAACACTGCATGGAAGCACATTAAGAGGAAAAATATGAAATATGTGGGGGGGACCTGGGAATCGAACCCAGGTCCCAATACTTGCCAGACACCTCAGCCACCAACTGAACCAACGCGTTTCTTTGTAATGTTAGTGGAACGTGATTATTATAAAAAAGAACAAAAGTTAGTAATATGAACAACAAAATCACGCGCCAAATTTGAATTATCCAGTAACATCAAGCCACGCATGCTTCTTCTCCATTTTGTACCTGCAAGTATAACCAAATAGCGGGGGTTTTAAACCCCCACAAAAACAAAGGCCAGAAAATAACGATTAGCATATGGATAAATATAAAAAGGGCGCGAGGTCATGGTTGTGTTCGCATGGAGCTCCTGAGTTCAATGGCATAAGTCTTGAGATCCAATTTTTCCATATACAGAAATCCCTAATTCGAAGCTTCTGAAACCCTAGGTTTCAACAATGGTGGATTCTTATTTAGGCAGCCATAGTTCAATTGAATGGTACCAACAACTTCAGAATATCATTGTTAGTAAGAATCAATAATTAAAACTCATGAATAATGCATGTAAATTAAAAAACGATTATGGACATGTTCAAGAAAAGTGTGACGTTGTTCTACCAATTCTTGAGGTCTGGAGACTGGTTCTTGATTGCAACACGTTCCTAGCAATGTCAAGAACGTAATGGACAAGCTTTTAGACCTTGAATCGCCTTGTGACTAGGATTTCAGTGTTCAAATTTTTAATGAAAAATTGCAAATTGGTATGCCTTTTCTGAGCAGCTTTTCGTGTCTATGAGCATTAGGTTAGCTTGTGTATAAGTATCTGAACGAAATTAGGTCAAAACCAAGTCCAAAGATCCATTGAATTTATGATTCCAATATTTGATTTTCTCCATATCTTTTTCAATCTTTTTTCATGCCAATCCTTGCCAATTGTGGAAGATATTGCCTTGTTAATTGATGCACGAAATATTTAGCTCATAATGAGTGAATTTGCTGCACAAAAAGATTTGATAAGTGTTATTTGATATTTTTTCATATTTAAAACTAATTAAATGAATTAATAACAATAAAAATTCAAATAATTAATCAAAAATAAGAAAATAAACCCCTTTGAGGTCAATGGGTCGTGCATAGCCTTTGGGTAATGATTCATGGAAGAAATTGAGGCCCATTAGCATTTTTGAAGCCTTTTGTGCAAAGTTGACTTTTCAAAATTCTCAAAAATTTCCCAACTTCTACAAGGCATATCTTGCTCAATTTTGAAGCTATGAACATGTTCTTGGACATTTTGGAAAGGTCTTGAAGTCCTATAACCAATGTCTTTGGTCCCATGTCATTTTGATTTACCAATCTCAAATTATGTTCTTTGACTTAAAGTGCCTTTTTGTTGACTTTTGAAAATGACATATAATGTTGAAATTGATAACTTTTTGTGAGAGCATTTCTTGGACTTGAAGTGTGAAGATGAGTTGTAGGAAATGTCATTCTCTTCAAAATGAGCTTTGTATGGAATTTTTCTGATAAACCATGAAGAAGTTATGCTCTGGTCAATTTGCAGTTGACTTTTCAGCTGTCCAAAAATAGAAACTTTTGCATCTTGAGACTTTTTGAGCCATATTTTGAGAATCATGATCAAGAATTGATCAAATGATGTTTGTAGCTTCAAAATAAGATGTTGACCAAAAATTTTGAATTTTGACTTTCAAATGACTATTTTGCCCCTACAGTTGACTGTGAAGCAGTTAGGGTTTTTGACTGTGCAATTTGATGTTGTGAGTCTTAAAACTTGGCCTATGGATGCTTGACAATGTATATGAGCATATGGGACTTGATTGGACCCTTGGAAACTTCAATTTCTTTGCCAGAACCAAAACCCTAATTTTGACTGTGTTAGGAGGCAATTGGACTGTGCAATTTTTGAGGGATTTTGAATCATCTGGAGATTGATCTTGGCAAATCTTGAAGAATATGGGAGGGCAAATTTTAGGGTACAACAGTTGCCCCTGTTCAATCTTCTTAGACCTGAGGATGTAGATTGGTTGGCGTGCCTTTCGTAATCCGAAGGTGGAAGATGATTGAACACTAGAGTGCCCAGAAATTTGCACTCACATAGTAGAATGTCAGCAGTGTGATGACGGGAATGGGCTTATAGATGCCATTTGGAGACTGTTGGTATGTGGATGGGCTTACAGATGCCATCTAGGTGTCGATCGCGTAAGAGATTCCTTAGCGAGAACTTGCGTACCTGAGAAAGAAAATAATTACCTGGCCTGTTACAGGAGTTGATCTTCAAACTCTTTATGTAGATGTGCCCTGGCTGGATACAGGAATCAAATCTTTAAACTCTTCAGACGTGCCCTGGCAAGATACAGGAATCGAGTCCGGAGAATAGTCGTCAACAGATACACCCTGGCAGGATACAGGAATCGGATATTCAAACTCTTCAGATGTGCCCTGGCAAGATACAGGAATCGAGTCTGGTAATGTTAGTCATCAACAGATACACCCTGGAGAGATACAGGAATCGAATCTTCGAACTCTTCAGACGTGCCCTGGCCGGATACAGGAATCGAGTCTGGTAATGTTAGTCGTCAATAGATACACCCTGGCGAGATACAGGAATCGGATCTTCGAACTCTTCAGACGTGCCCTGGCAAGATACAAGAATCGAGTCTGGTAATGTTAGTCGTCAACAGATACACCCTGGCAAGATA